GTGAAGAAAGCTGATGGTGCCCGGCTATCAAAAGATATAGCGTCTGGGGTCTTAAAGGCTTGTAGGCAAACAAGCGGCCATCTAGCTCAGAAACAGCAAAATTCTGACTTCTAACAACCCTACGTGACAGGGTAGAAGTGCCCCTGTGGGTGTCTGAAACCAAAGTCCTTTAAGGGAACAGAACGCCTTGTCATTCTCCCTCGGAGTGGCTGATGGCTTTGAACTGCTATCCTCTGGTTTGCAGCCCACTATGTAACCCTTGTGCCAGGTGGGCACTTCTTTGTACCTCATTACAACTCTACTTACAATATGCAACCATAATAATAACTCTTCAGAGAGCCATTATTTTGGAATATGCAATATATCGTCTCTTCCTATAGATCACCTCCACCGCAAATCAGGAGGACAATGGTAATTGACGACATGAAACATCATATTAGTTTAGAAACAAACAGTAGCATCTGGCGTAAAAGAGGAGGCGGGGGAGCGCTTACCCACACAGGTTCTTTCGTCGTCCCCTAGCACATACGGGTCAGTACAGAGACACTGGAAGCTGCCCTTTGTGTTCCTGCAGGTAGCGGAGGGATGACAGGGAGGTTCCATCAGATCGGTGCATTCATTAATATCTGCACAAACAACATAGGGATCATTACAACGTTTAAGGGGAGGAAAGGAAACTTTTCTAATTTCACACACAGGCCACCAGAGTTTCAATTTTGGATACGCCCCTTTCCACCAAAAAAACCCCCAATAACTATTTCCTTAGTGCTATCCTTTCTCTAGACCGAAGAGCAACAGCCCCTTCGCTTTTGTGTGGTATCTTCCTTGCTCTTCATACACTTAGAAAGGAACATATGTGTGGAAGTTTCCCTTGGTGCAATACACTTGGCCAGCTGATTCCAATTCGGGGACTTTTTGGCAAAGGTCTTAATTTCCAACTAGTCAGTTTCACAAATTGTGTATTCTGAGACTTTCATGTTGTGTCTGGTCCCAGTACTTCTTGCTCACACTAGCTCTTTCTAGCAGAGAGCCCCAATCCCAGACCTCTTGCCGTCTAAGATTTGAGATTGTACAACCTTTCAAACACCCGCTTAGCTGATGTTCCATAACAAGCAACTGATGTTTATGAATTTCCAGCGACAATTGATATTCTAATGCATTTGATATGATTTTATTCAAATCATATGTCTGGCACTGAGTGCCCATGGTTGTTAATAATGGACAAACAGATACGGCTTTTTCTCCCTGGGTAAGCATGAATGAATAAAATAAGGATTTGCAAAATTCTGTGAAGGATGTGGGAACCCTGGTGGCTTAGTGGTTACATGTTGGGTGGCTAATTGTTAGCTCAGCAGTTTGTAATTGGGAGAAAGATGAGGCTTTCTACTCCTGTAAAGAGTGACAGTCTCAGAAGCATGCAGGGACAGTTCTGTCCTGTCCTCGAGGATGGCTATGAGTTGGCATCAACTCAAGGGTAGTAAGTAGTAAGTTTGGCTTAATTTTGGGTGAAAAGTGCAGGAGAGACACCTCATCCAGACGTGGAGTGTCAGAGAATCTCCCTGAGAGAATCTCCCTGAAAGAGTTCACCTACTCACTCGGAGCAGAAGAATGAGTAGATTTAGCCAATGAGGCAAAACAGGGAAGTGGAGCTGGAAGTGAGGGTGGTGGGGGAAGACAGAGGAAGCGTGTCCCAAAAATAATATTTGAAGGAGGAGATTTGTGGTTTTCTTTTTTGATTCTATTTCAGTAAATACGTTACTCTTCTTGCTACTTTGTGCTTGTTTGTTTGATTAGCTCATTGTTGTTGCTATGGCACAGATATTGGACCAGGTGTTTAAACCTGGACTTCTAATCCTCAAGGAGCTGAGTGCAGTTACACATATCCCCCGAGTTGCCTGGGCCTCTACTTCCTAAACTGTAAGTGCAGAATGTTGTGCTGCATCTCCTGCTCTTCAGGTTTCTAAGTAACATAAAATGTTTCTTTTCTGGACAGTTTTGAAAAACAGCTGAATATCAAACGAAATGTCCAATGTATTATACAACCATGTTTTATAAATGTGTTACTAAATACGTGTGTGTTTGTGTGTGTGTGTGCGTATTCTTATGTATAGTGAGCTCTGGGAGCATTTGGATAAGGACTGGGCTGCTAACTTCAGGCTTAGTGATTCAAACCCTCCAGCAGATCCTTGGGAGAAAGATGAGGTTATTCGCTTTTGTAAAGATGCATAGTCTTCAAAATCTTTTTTTTTTCAAATAATTTTATTGGAGGCTCATACACAATACACACATGCATCCACTGTGTCAAGCACATTTGTACATTTGTGGGCATCATCATTTTCTAAACATTGTATGTCTGGCTATCAGCTCCCCATTTTTCTCCCTCCCTTCCCCATCCTTCCTCACCCACCCCCATGAACCCTTAATAATGTATAAATTATTCTTTTTTCATGTCTTACATTGACCGATGTCTCCCTTCACCCACTTTTCTGTTGTCAATCCCCCAGGGAGGAGGTTTTATGTAGATCCTTGTGATAGGTTCCCCATCCACCACCTTCCCCCTACCCTCCCTAGTATTGCTACTCTCATGATTGGTCCTGAGGGGTTTATCTGTCCTGGATTCCCTGTGTTTCCAGCTTTTATCTATACCTGTGTACATGCTCTGGTCTATCCAGATTTGTAAGGTAGAATTGGGATCATGATAGAGGGGGAGAGGAAGCTTTAAAGAACTAGAGGAAAGTTGTTTGTTTCATTGGTGCTATACTGCACCTGACTGGCTCATCAGCTCCCTGCCACCCTTCTGTAAGGGATGTCCAATAGGCTACAGATGGGCTTTGGGTCTCCACTCCACACTCCCACTCATTTAAATTAATATGATTTTTTTGTTCTGGGAGTTTGATGCCTGATACCTGATCCCATCAACACTTCATAATCACACAGGCTGGTGTACTTCTTCCATGTGGATTTTGTTGCTACTCAGCTAGATGGCCACTTGTTTGTCTTTAAGCCTTTAAGACCCCAGATGATATATCTTTTGATAGCCAGATATCATCAGCTCTCTTCACCACATTTGCTATGCACCATTTTGTCTTCAGCGATTGTGTCAGGAAGGTGATCATCACAGAATGCCAGGTTATTAGAACAAAGTGTTCTTGTGTTGAGGGAGTACTTGAGTAGAAGCCCAATGTCCATCTGCTACCTTCATACTTAGCATATAAATATATGTACATAGATATATTTCCCTATCATTATATATAAATATATTTATATATGTACATGCCTGTATTTAGACCTCTATAAATGTCCTCTGACTCCTAGTTCTTTCCTCTATTTCCTTTTACTTTCCTCTTGTCCTACTATCACGTTTGGCCTTCATTTGGCTTTCAGTAATTCCTCTCGGTTACATTGCTCCTGATCAAGCCCTACCAGGCATCCTACACCCTCCTTGCCATTGATTTTAGATCACTTTTTGTTCCCTGGGCCCTGGGTTTGTTAACACCCACTACCTTTCCTCCGCCTCCCCCTCTCCTATGTCCCCCGGGAACCATTGACCCCATTGTTTTCTCCCCTGGATTCTTTATCCCACCTATCTTATCTAGATACACATACAGAGATAAAAATAAGCACAAAAACAAGACAGATCAAAACAAAGCAACAACAACAACAAAAAACAAAGGCCTATAAATAGTTCCAGGTTTGTTTGTGGACTTTTAGGAGTTTTTTCCCCAAAGTCTATTTTTGGTATTTCCCAAGGACTTCATTGCTTTGCTCCACTTGCTGCTTTGCTGCATGCCCTTAACAGCATTTCACCCCGGTGTGGTGGGATCCGATGGAGCACAATTCCCACACTGCCTCCAGTGTTGTCCCTCATAGTGATATGGGTCAGTGAGGGATGTCTTGTTTCGTGGTGGGGACATTTCTATGGTCCTCTCTGTGCATTGGCTGCTCTGAGCAGGAATATCATTTTGGGGGCTTGGTGGGCCAAGATGTGTTCCACTCTCTCTCCTTCCCTCTTTGTTTGCTCTTGTGTGCTCTGATCAGATGTGCCCCGCTCCCTGAGCTATAGCTTCAGTGCTGTCCTCTGTAGTGCATTCTTCTGGGAGGGAAGGGGGGATGTACACATCTTCAAAATCTTAAGGAGTAATTCCATTCAGTCCCAGAGTCGCTGTGAGTCTGAATCAAGCTGATGGCATCGGGCTGGATAAATATAGGTATATTGTTAGCTGCCACCAGGTGTATTCAGACTCAATGCCACCTTAAGAGTGTATTGGTCTCCTTTTGGTAACCATAGGCTGGAAAAGAATAAACATGGACATGTACTGAATCTTTAGGATGTGCCAGACAAGGGGACTGCATTCTTTTGCTTTCAATTTTCAAGATACCATGTTACCACTGTTTCTGTCAACATGCTACTCTGTTATCTAATAACCAAAGGAGAATTCATACCTTGCCTAAGGTCAAAGATCTAAGTGGAAAACTGGTATTCATCACGCACAGGCAGGTGAGGACGCCAGCATCAGACGCCATGCTCTTCACCACCTCCTTTTCCTCACTCGCCCGTTGGCACAAGTGACAAGAGTATTAGCGTCTGCAGTGCCTGTGTGAACAAACGTTGAAGAAAGAGCATGGGCCTCCTTGCCCTAGAATTAACAGCCTGAGGAATGTGCAGCAAACCTCTATTGGATTGGAAAATCATGACGGTCCTGTCATTCGGGCGGATGTCACCTAGTGTAGTCACTCATGGTGTCAGCACTCCACCCCCATTGAGCAGACTGGCCTGCCTCCATGGACCCCTTTAATGCCCAAGAAGACCAAGGAGCCACTCTGTCCTCGCTGCCTCCCTTCCCATGACTCCCGGGAGCTCCCGCTCTCTCCCCTTGGCCCAGGTAGAGTGCCTACCCTCTGTGCAATGCAGTGGTCCTTCCTGATGCCGCCGCCCTTTCATACAGTTCCTCTTGTTGTGGTGACCCCAAACCATAAAATTTATTTTCATGGTTACTTCATCACTGTCATTTTGCTACTGTTATGAATCGGGCAACCCCTGTGAAAGGGTCATTTGACCCCCAAAGGGGTAGCAACCCACAGGTTGAGAATCACTGGTCTAATGGCAGGTGCTGCAGTCCACCTCTTGGGTTTATGGGGTTGTGGTTGAAGAGTTACCACACTGGACGATGGGTGAAGTCAGCCTAGCCAGCCTACTGTCTAGGTAGCCGGTTCCCCTGTGATACTGCTTCTATCACTGAAAACCCTCAGGAGAGTTTGCCGTCACCCCTCCTGACAATGTTAAGCACTGAGGTCTGCACCCCCTGTACTCTCTAGTGATGCCATGGAATAATGCTCCTTACGAAAGAGAAGCCTGCAAAATCTCCCAATTCCTGGGTGACTTTGTGCAAAGGCCAACACTCGGCTTACCTGGCCTGATGACTTTGTTTTTCAAGAAGAGCAACAGACTGCTTCCTCCACTCTCCGCAGCTAGCTCCAAACATCTGCACAGATGTTTCCATTTCCCTAAGCAAGCTTGTGCTGATTGCAAACCTTATTTTCCCTACTAGACAGGGAAACATTTATTTGTATTCCTTTATTGCATAACCTCTTGACAATAACGTTGTGTAAAAAGTCGCAGACTCAT